AGGTAAACAAACCGGCCCGGCCCGCCAGGGGCTTTCCCTACACAAGCGGCGTCCCAAGTTTGGGAAACACTGCACTATAGGAAAACAGAACAATGTAGTTCTTTCCCTTCTTTCTATCCCATAGATTAAGTATATGTATGGACTCTGTGGAATCATTATAAAATGATTTAAATGAAAATTCTCTCTCCCTCTAAAGCATAGAGATTTCACAGACTATTTGCTGTAGCATGCAGATGAGATACTACCAACCAAAGGTCACAATGTCTAGCAGTCACAAAACAAAAACCCAAAAATGTTTTGTTAAACTGTACAAGGATTGTGCAAACTGGATGTATTTTATTACTATTCCCTTCCCCCAAAACAGCTGGTAGGCTGGAGCTTGCAGGATGGAGAGGAATCTGCTGAGAGTGAGCACACATCAAGAGGAAAAAGAGACTGGATGATAAAAAAAAAATGTTCTCCTTCACATACACATACAGCACCTCATTACCCCCTGCCCCTCAAAATGCGTTCTACTGCAAACTTCAACCCTAAATATTAATTCCAATATTTTAAAATGTTGTGGGTTTTTTTAAATATCATTTAGAACCACACATCTCAGGGTTGGCAAAGGCATCTTTGGTCATCTGGTCCATCCCTGGTTGAAAATGTTGCTAGGTCTGCAGTGGAAGTTTATTGATTTGGGGAGCAGGGATTGAGGGTTCTCTTTTTTCATTACTCAGTGCCATAGCCACGATGTTCCGTAACAGAGCGAAAAACAAGACAGCAACTCTAGGGGTGGGGAGGTGAAATCCTATAACAAGGGGCTTCTAAGGAAGGTCAGAGCTGTAATGTTGCCTCCACTCCACAAATGGACCCCATTAGACCGAGCAGCCTACACCAGCTTTAGGGACGTGCCATAAACCAACCCTAAAACAGAGAAGAATCTGGGCCTACGAAAGTTTATTAACAGAAAGCAAATTATTCGAGAAATCCTGTTATTTTTCTCAACATACTAACACAAAAAACCAACTGTGACGGGGAAGCAGAAACCCACTCTTTTTAAACAGCATTGTCTTTCATGTTTGGAGAGCACTTCATTCCTGACATATTTTATTCAAATCCATTATTCAATAATGTACATTTTCAGTCTCATTGTTTCTGTTCATTGCTGTTAGGAATTTCTTCTAGCACATTTCTTTTATTTGCTGCACTTCTTTTCAACCAAGAAGCAACAGAGCAGGGAACTTAAAATAATATGCTTCAAAAAATGCAGTCAAGGATTTAAAAAAACGATGTGTCTCCAGTACCATAAGACAGACATAGTAGAGTTACATAAAGGCACTAAAACATAAAGGCTAAACCACTATTTCTGAAAATAAGTTATCTATGAAATATACTGACAGTCACCTCACATTTGAGACATATAGCTGACGGTCATCTTCAGTTGCTCTGCTGATTCATTTGTTAAAGCAGATTTTAAAACCCTAATAAGTACGCTCTTACAGTGTGTTTCTCACTAAGGCTTGGTCTACACTTACCCCCCAAGTCGAAGTAAGGTACGCAAATTCAGCTACGTGAATAACGTAGCTGAATTCGACATACCTTACTTCGAACTTACCGCGGTTCAGACGCGGTCCACACGCGGCAGGCAGGCTCCCCGTCAACTCCGCAGTACTCCTCTCGTTGAGCTGGAGTACCGCAGTCGACGGGGATCACTTCCTGGTTCGATTTATTGCGTCCAGACCAGACGCGATAAATCGAACTCGGAACTTCGATCCCCAGCCGCCGAACTAGCGCGGCAGTGTAGACCAGCCCTAAGAGAAACACTGAAATACACACCACTAAGAGGACTGCTCTTTTAACCAGCATGCAGCTCTACAGCAAAAAGGGATATTTTAACACAATTTCAAATAAATCCCAAAACATCCTTTATTAGTTTTTAATACCAGAAAAGAAACGTGAACACTCACTTGTGATGAGGCATTTGTACAGCACTATTTTCCTTCGATACAAAATAAAGCACATACAGTACCTTGAAATGACATGTTGAGGGTAAGAGGGTCAGAATGGACTCAGCGCATTAGACCCCAAAAGAGTCTAAAAATCTATAGAATAAATAGCATCTAATTATTGGTCTTTTTACTAACAAGAAATGCGGTTGCCACTGCTCCAACAGTACATTCCACCCTTGACAGCATTCCAACCAGCTCACCTTGCTTATTCAAGGAGTCCTGCTGACTTTAATGTACTACACATGTGAATAAAATCGGCAGTAATTGCCCCTCATGAGTTGTTCCAAGCATTAACTTCACTGCTGAAGTGTCTCAGGATGCAAAGAGAAGGGCATTCAGCTTCACAGCTAAGAAGGTAAAATAATTCACTAGGAATTTAGTTTGTTAGAGACCTTCTTTTTCTCCCATCCTAGGAAAGACTGTATGCAATCAGCATTACAGTGCTTTCTACCAAGCAGCAAAGACTAGTGGAAGACAGAAGATACAGAAGGGTAGATTCCTCAGCCCTTCAGTTATTTTTAAATCTGACAACTCTCAACCCAAAAAGGATCCCACAGAATACAAAGGGGGAGGGGGGGTGACATAAGATGTGAGAGAAGGAAAATAGTGCTCGTCACTTTTCACTGTCCTCTCCATCCAGCAGAAGTTTCCAAACAATCAGCAGATGTAGCGAGCAGACCCTAAGAGGATGTGGACCTCGCTGAGAAGCAACTTGGATAACTTTGCCTCTTCTGCCTATGACCACACAGGAATGCATTCAGAACTGTGAGGCAAGGACAATCTACATGGTCTTGAAGTTTCCAGCATGGTGAACTTGTTCCACTCAGCTCAGGTGGTAGAAATTCATCAAGCAGTATGGCTTTTTGCTGGCATCTTGATCATCTGTTAATAATACATGATTTTAACCAAATGACTTAAGGTATGGTAGGTAGAGACCTTTGTTTCAGGTCTTTGAAATGAACATCTATTTGTCCTTCTAAAGAGCTACGTACAATGGAGATTAACCCTAGCGGCTACCTGTTCATCCAAATATTGAATCCTTTCCAGGAAAAACAAACAAACAAAACAAACAAACAAAAAGGAGAGATTTGGTTAGAAGTTAGGCACAATCATGGACTCATTCATATGGAAGTCCAAAACCAGTTGAAAGAGGAATTCCTCAAGCACCTGAAACTCTCATCCATCCAGGAAAAACAGTAAGAACGGAGCTTTGCTCACTAGGAAGCTTAAATCTCCAACAAGTCACACCAAAGAGCTACTTTCAGAGTCAACAGATTTCATGTAATTTTTCATGCATGTTCTCAAGGAACTATGAGCATGGAAAGCAAAAGCCCATCAAACCCCAGAAAGTCAATATACCAAAACTGAAGACACAGAGGGGAGTTTCAGGCCATTCATAAAAACAACTCAAATAAACCCACTGTGGGGAACAGCTTGTGGAC